GCATAGAATGTGACAAAGGTGGCTAAACAGCCTATCTATAATGAACATAGAATGTGACAAAGGTGGCTAAACAGCCTATCTATAATGAGCATAGAATGTGACAAAGGTGACTAAACAGCCTGTCAATAATGAGCATAGAATGTGCAGTCCTCAACTGGCCATGATATGGTATTTGTTATTCAATATGAGTATATGAAAGAGCATCGTGCATTTCATTAAACCAACAACATTAAATCACATTCATAGTTTTGTATCAGTGACAGATTAAGGGTGACTTGGGCCCCGGGCGGCAGGAGAAGAAAAGGCCCCCCTTCCCATCATAAATATATTGATCTCTAGCAAACTGAGTCAACTTCATTGTCAAAATCATAATATTAAGTAGATATTAATATATATGTGAACATTTTAATTATATACACAGTATTGTAACACTGGGAACAATATAGACAAACCACAAACGTGTACAAACACACTTTATTCACTCATGAATGATCATGAAGACAACTTGATTAGAACCTCATGTACCTGTATAAAGTTAGAATTGTCTTTTTCTGGCTTTATTATAACTGAGCTCGTCAATGAATTTCGAAAAGTCTAGCTTTCGAAGTATGTCAAACTTTATGTTCATTATAGACAGACTGTTTAGTCACCTTTGTCACATTCTATGCTCATTATTGACAGGCTGTTTAGCCACCTTTGTCACATTCTATGTTCATTATAGACAGACAGTTTAGTCACCTTTGTCACATTCTATGCTCATTATTGACAGGCTGTTTAGTCACCTTTGTCACATTCTATGCTCATTATAGATAGGCTGTTTAGTCACATTCTATGCTCATTATAGACAGGCTGTTTAGCCACTTTTGCCACATTCTATGTTCATTATAGATAGACTGTTTAGTCACCTTTGTCACATTCTATGCTTATTATAGACAGGAATATTGAATAACAAATACTGTATCATGAGCAGCTGAGAACTGAATATTGGATAACAAATACCATATCATGAGCAGTTGAGAACTGAATATTGAATAACAAATACCGTATCATGACTAGCTGAGAACTGAATATTGGATAACAAATACCGTATCATGAACAGGTGAGAACTGCATATTCGATTACAATATAACTATATCTTGAGAACTGCATATTGAATAAAAAATACCATATCATGACCAACAGAAAACTTTGTTTTTAATAACAAATATCATAACTTGGCAATCTGAGAACTAGCACTTATCCTTCGAGCAAAAACAACGGTAATGTTTTTCAATGAAAGTTTAAGAAAGAAATACAGCTTGGCGTGGGTTTATTTATGTTCGCAGATATTTGTCATATTATCGGATATGCCATCTAAAATGAGCAAATGCCTTTTATTTTACAAAAAAAAAATATTATTTGACTTGACAGGTTGATACTTTAAAAATGTTTGTGATTTCTTATGATTGGTTGATACTTAGAAACTCTTTGTCATTTGGCATGATTGATCAATTTATGAAAATGTTTGCCATTTGAACCGCATAATAGATCAATAAGTTAAAAAACATTTCATTTAACACTGATACTTTAAAACGTTTGTCATTCGGCGTAATAGGGCGATTAAAATATTTTTCCTGTTGATCTAACATAGAACAGCAGCACCAAAAAGATCGTGGAGCTTTTCGTTTCATATAGATAAGTGATTAAAGCTGAACGAGATGATAGGCATTTCAGCCAAACCACCAAAGTTGATTTCTCTGAAATAAACACATTATAAGTTATTACGAAACATTGGCTGTTCAGTTATGTTTTTTTATAAGTCGAAAATATTTATTTTCAACTTATATATCCTTCCATTAGCTCAAGGTAACCTCGAGGGCTCATAACGCAAAAATTTGGGATTGCATACCCGTGATGAGCGCAGCGCAGATAGCCCATATTGCTGCTTTGCAAAAAAAGAAAATCGTCTATAATTATAAATATTTTGTTCTATGTCAGTTATTACTTTGTTATATAGGCCCGGCATGGCCAGGTGGCTAAGGTGCTCGACTCGCAGTCTGCGGGTTCGAATCCCCGTCACACCAAACATGCCCGCCCTTTCAGCCGTGGGGGCGTTATAATGTGACGGTCAATCCCACTATTCGTTGGTAAAAGAGTAGCCCAAGAGTTGATGGTGGGTGGTGATGACTAGCTGCTTTCCCTCTGGTCTTTCATTGATAAATTAGGGACGACTAGCGCAGATAGCCCTCGTGTAGCTTTGCGCGAAATTCCAAAAACAAACTTTGTTATATGTCAGTTTTTACTTTGTTCTATGTCAGTTTTTACTCGAGTGTAGCTCTTTTTCTCCTTGTTTTTTAACAAAAAGATTTGTTTTTTTCTGAACAGGGAACCCAGAAACTCAGTTATCCTAAATCTATATTCTTTATCATCGGAAATGAGTTCTGTGAAAGATTCTCTTACTATGGAATGAAAGGTAATGTGTATTATCAGTAAAGTACAGTTTTTAGTAGGACATATAACTGTAGCTTAGAAATGGATGACTTATGCGGTAAGATTGAAATTATCAAACAACTAGCACTTAGTTTCTAACAGATTTAATTATGTTTCATTTATAACACTTCACATAATTGGTTAACAAGTGCTCTTTGATGAAAATTTCACCCAAGTTTGTTTAAATTATGGCAGGTTTACAGCAGTGTTTATTACTTGGGTACAATCTGAGGCGTCACTTCGGTCTGCAGTAGTCACTGTGGGCCAACACCAGTAGTTTTTACTGAGGTGCAGTATGCGGTGGTCTCTTAAGGTTCGCAGCAGTTCCTGTTTCTGGGGCAGAGCCTGCAGAGGTCATTGCTGGTTTTCTGCACTTACTACTACTGAGATGTAGTCTTCATCATTCCCCAGGGGTTCGTAGCAGTTGGTGCTACTTAGTCGCTGACTGTAGCAGCCACTGCGCTACCTGGCCATGCTATTCAAATAATGACATTGAAAAGTAATATGAATTTCTATTTTCCGCATATGCCCACATTGTTATTATTAGCTGACAAGATAATTAGGTAAGAATATTAATGTAAGCCATTTTCTCTTCTATAACAGCTTAAAATATTTACCTTTGTATATCTCATAATAATAGTAATTATTCTATTTCAATCCAAATTTAATTGTACCGCGGTAGGATAGCGGTAAGTCTACGAATTTACAACTCTAAAATCCATAGTTTGATTCTCCGCGTTGGACAAAGCAGATAGTCCGATGTAGCTTTGCTTTGAAACAAATATACAAACCAAATTTAATTTCCATAGAAAAAAATCTCTGTGGATAGCACTTCATTTATTGAAAATCACAACCCAAAGGAAACTAAACCCAAACTATTCACTTAAAGGTTAACGTAGTTTTTCCTCGATTTTTTAGGACATAATGTAGGCACGTTCCAGGAAATATGACATTTTTAGAATAAAAACCCAATTAAATTATTTTGTACAAAAAGTTGTTTTTGATTGCGTTTGCCTTGATATCAATCAAATTAGGGAGGAAAATAATGTCAAGTAAGTTATTACTTAATTTTTAGTGCTAAATTACACTTGTTTCTAATAACACTTTCCATCCAATAAAGTTTATAATAAAGCTTTCTTTATTAGACGTTTTAGTGGGTGGAAAGCTTTTTTAAAATTTTTAATGTGTACAAAGCTTTATTAGAAACTTTACTGGGAGAAAAGCTTTATTAGACGTTTTAGTGGGTGGAAAGCTTTTTTAAAATTTTTAATGTGTACAAAGCTTTATTAGAAACTTTACTGGGAGAAAAGCTTTATTAGAAACTTTACTGGGAGTTTCTCCCAGTAAAGTTTATAATAAACCTTTCCACTTACTTAAACTTCTAATAAAGTTTTGTACCCAGTAAAGTTTCTAGTAAAGATTTTCACCCTGTTTAGTTTCTAATGAAGCTTTTCATCTGGGAACTTTTCAAATAAAGCCTTCCACCCAGAAAAGTTGCTAGAAAAGCTTTCCAACCAATATGAAGAACAATAAAGCTATATAAGTATACATAAAACATAATAATTTCGTATTCTTGACTATTATACCCCAAACCAGATTTGCTTTGCTTATTAACACGTGTAACAATGCAAAAAAAAATATTTTTTTCAGATTCTTCTTCATCTTCAACTAGTTATAAACCTTACGAAAACAGTGACTAAGAAAAAAAAATAGGGAATTAATTTTAGATAAATGTTTCTAAATTAATACTTTTTACTATCCAGTTATGGTAAAAACGGTGCCAGCCATAAAAAAAGGACAAAATATTGTGTCTTCCAGTCCGTCAGTATTGTAATAATTGCTAAGACGATTAATGTTTTAATTCAGAAACTTATAAATTTGACTTTTCAATAAATATAGCTTGGAAAACATGTTTTATCTCAATCAATAAACAAATCCCTTTCAAAATAGTCTTATTTTGAATATGTTTCTAGTTTAGTCTTTTTGAGTGACCTCAATGAAGTTCTATGTATTCAGACTATTCTTACGTCGTATCATCATATATATTCTTTAAACTAAAGCTGAAGGAATATAGAACATGGTCATATAGTTTAGCAGCTCATTTTAAGTGTAATATTAGCAATTATTGCAATATGAATAAAACTTCTTCCTTATTGGAGTCCATTAGTAACATGGCTTGTACACATACACGTGCATTATTGTACATATTAACAAACAGAAAACATAGATGTGTAAAAGTCTTACGTATTTACTAAGTATGGAAATTGATTGAGTTTTTATTTATAATCTTGAGAGTTCGTTCAAAGCTTATGTGTAATGATCTTTAATCAAGGTTTTATTTCACTTGATGATCAACTATTCGCTAAGAAGTTACACTAGTAGTAAGCAGAATGTTATTGTAATCAACTAGGATCTGTCCCGCATTAAAACTACTGATACAATGGACAGGAGTACTATGATATACTGGAGAATGTATTAAAGTGCTAAACAAGTTTCAATACGTTAAATTATCTCCTATAAAAACTTAGAAATTGTAAACAGAACTAAACTACCATCGAGATAAACTATTCCAAGTGGATGGATTTTTTATGACGTGTGATAGCATTTATAATCTAACGCCGATCGTTTATAAATCAGTCATCGTAATCTCACGACTCTTAAAAAGTACAATGTTTTTAGTGGTAAGTGTGCAGAAAGCACATGAGATATTTTTCAAAACCAATAGATTCGAAGAAATATTCTAGTGGTTATGGAAACAACAGTGACCTGATATCAGGCACTGCAACTGATAATCAGAAAGACAATCTAACAACGTGGAAATTGCAGTTGTCAAGATAAAAACCAAACGGGAGAGCAAAAGTTTCATCGTTCTGAATGTCACAAACTGTTAAAAAAATATCATACAAAACTTACTAAATGGCTGCTTCTGATTAATTGGATTAGATGATTAATGTATATACCCATTTCAGTTAGCAACGAACGTTTCTTTCCAATAGCCTTTTTTAATTTCGATTTGTAACGCTCGATACAGCACACTGTTTGTGCAAGATGGGTTAGAAGAGATCAAAAAATAAATCATGCAAGCTATTCCATCCTAATATCCCGTCAGTAATACTAGTTTTGGCCAAATGTTTTAATATTTATGCCATATAGTATATAGATTTTGAATTTACGAAAAGAGTGGATAATATATCAGAAAACTAATGAACCATTTAACCTATGGTGTGGTTTATTAGATCTGGAGAATAATTTCTACGGAATCGGCAAATCAATCTAATTAGAGCTTTCCTTTACAAATCTAATAAAACTTATAACGTTCATACCAACTGGGATATAACTCATATAGGTGAGCTTTCGGTAGTAGCGAATATGATATCTTTTATAATAACACTTTTCCAGAATATATTCAAATTCGTTATACTGTGCACCAAAATTTTTGGTTGTATGGTGGGGTGTGAAAATGAACAAATGACGCATGATTTTGTGATATTTTAATATACTCGTGCTTTTTGTAGCTGTGCTAACCCTCTACCTGACGTTGGTTCTTCTATACGATGACGACACGGCCACCATGATTTACCACATCTTCTCTATGGGTTGTTATTTTACACCCATCTTCGGAGCCATGTTGGCCGATTCTCTTTTAGGAAAGTTCAGGTTTGTATTAAACATTACTTAGAAAAGTTCAGGTTTGTATTAAACATTACTAAGGAAGGTTCAGATTGTATTAAATGTTATCGAGGAAAGTCCAGGTTTTTATTAAAGAATTACTGAAATGATTTAAAGTTTGTATCAAAGAATTACTTCGGGAAGTAGAGGTTTGTACTTAACATTATTTAGAAAATTTCAGGTTTCTTTATATAATTACTTAGAAAATCCCAGGTGTTTTTTTTTTTTTTTAATTACTGAAGAACGTCCAGGTTTCTATTATATAATTACTTAAAAATCCCAGGTGTTTTTTCTTAAACTACTGAAGAACGTCCAGGTTTGTATTAAGAAATTACTTAGGAAAGTTCAAGTTTGTGTTGAATAATTATATTAAGGAAAGTTTAAGTTTGTAATAAAGAACTACGGAGGAAAGTTCAGATTTTTATTATAGAATTGTTTAGGAAAGCCCAGATTTGTATTAAAAAATTCGCAAGGAAAGTATTTCAAAGGAAAAACATATTAGAAATAACTAGAAGCGAGAATACAATAAATGCCGCGGAGGTCGCAATAGCGTGGTAGTAAATGAAAGTGACTTGTTCAAACCCTAAGTTGTTGCTATTTATAATACTGGTACGGACAACAATTTTAATAAAAATAAAACGGAAATATAGCTACATGTAGCATTGCGGAAAACAGCGTTTACACAAACTCTGGTAGATCAGTAGTTAGTGGTAAGGGGTCTTTCAAAATTTACATAATTAAATTTTTCTCCCTTTTTGACCCCCCACCTTCATGTAACACAGGTCTTATCACCACTAATTTATTACGCTACACTGACAAACCTGCCTCTCCTTAATCCAGATCCTCTAAGTGCAAATATATTTAAGCATATTAAACAATAATTAAAAAACATATTTAATAAATTGCCCTCTAGTGGTTCAACGTCAAGTCTGATGGCTCACGTCACTAAAAACCGGGTTTCTATACAGATAGCCTATTGTGTAGCTTTGTGCTTAATACTAAACAAACAAACAAAACAACTATTTTAATATATCATATAAATTATGCAGAAAGTAATGATATAGTGAACTTTGGTGAATATAATAAATTTTTAAGCATTCATATGGTCTATCACTACTGGTTTATTCAGTTGCAACGATTTTTTTATGGCAACAACAGCGTAAAAGTTGTTTTATTTAAAGAAAAGCCAACTAAACTATTTAGTAACTATATATATATATATATATCGGTAAGACACATGCACAGAAAGTTAAAGTGAGGAGTTTCTATAACATTCTAAGAAGTAAACGGTTTCCTATAGACAGTACTAGTATTTCAAATTCGATGACGAGGAACTCACTTTGAGACTAATAATGGCTGGAGACGGCTTGAATGGGTAATGAAGTAAACTAATATATA